CTGTGCCCTTCATGGTTTCAACATGCTTGGAAAAGCTTTAGGAGATGCTATCATGAAACAGTTTACTGCCAGAGGATCCATCCATTCATGGACAGCCATGGAAGGAATATAACCGTATTACAGCAATTACACCAGTGTACTGGCACATTTCAGTAATGAGGAACAATAAAAGGTTGACGTTTATTACTCCTAAAGGCTTTTCAAAATCTTGGTATTGTGCTGCTGCTGCTGGGGAGTAGAAAATGCTATCTAGCTGGTGACTGATTGTAAAATCATCTTTTCCCCATCATCTCCGCAATATGTTCACAAACACTGAAAAATAACCCCTCTGATCACCCGTTGCTATAGCAACTCGAGCTTGAGTGCTGTGATGCTACAAGGCCATGTATGCCGTTGTGATATCAGCCGTTTGCAGTGAAACAGCACAGTCTGTGACCAAAAGTACTCGGCACGGTATAAAAAAAGCATTGGGAAGGAAAACAACCAAGAAAAACTTTTGAGGAGAAAGAAAAGAATAAACATCATGTATAAACCATGTGAAGGATGTCAGTGTGTCTGCAATACTGACATAAGAACATCTAGTGGATAAAGACAAAGCTTTACACACCCCGTGCTTGGACGGAGGGGAAGTTAAATAAAAACTACAGACAAAACACAGACATCTCAAAATAGTGAAGGCTGTTGTCATTTCATTTATAAGAAACTCACAAAGTCACACCACCAGTGGAATCAGAAACTGGACTCAGTCATTATCAGCCACAGAGAAAGAAGTGAGCAGTGAAATTTCAGGTGCTCCTCAGCACATTTGAAACTCCAGCATAATAAGGAACCGTGGCTCTGCCCTGAAGAACATGACAACCTGGTGACAGATCCCCAGCTGTCTCCTCTGTCCTACTGTTGAGATGTAACAGCTGAGTCTACAATCTACATTGACTCCTGCTCCGCTTCATTTCATCACTGATACAGTCGTGACAAGAGACGGAGCGACCCTCTGTGACTAACAAACACGTCAGACGCAGCTCTGAGCGAACAATCTACTGTATGTTAAGATGTCTTATTTCACACAGCTCTGCTGTATATTCAGACCTGACTTGTGGACAGGCTGCTCTGACAGGTACGTTTATTGCTTTGTTGGAATGTATGACCATTGTTCTGATTTATGCAAATAAACCAAAAATAAACTAAAATCCTTGGAAGATCTCTTGAAACATGTGTCCTCAGCAGCAACTTTTGACAACAACTCTATGGTTTAAGATTCAGGATATAAGCGTAATGAACATGATTCATAATTCTGAAAACGACTGACCCATGCTGTACTGTGATGCTCCTCCACCTCTCCACCATAAGAGTGCTCCATATACGGCAGAAGAACCGTGGTCCCAGCTGGCAAGAGCTGTAAATGGCCAGTATGGCAGCTTGGCTTCTCTTAACAGTTGCAGATGGCACCCAGCGACACAAGGGTCATCGTCCCGTCTACACCCCGCCAGAAATCCTCCTCCTGGCTTGGAGGCTCCATCTTCAGCTGCCTCAGCAGATTTCAGCACATGTGGGTGAAGAGGCAGTGTCGTATGGAGGAGGGATCTGGAGGTCATAGAACAGAGATTTTGAGCTGTTATATGCTTTACAAGAATACAGTTTGAAAATAAAGAATTAGCAACCTATAATGTGTTAAGGAGTAAATGTGTATCTCCTGCTCCTGCTCTTTAGACGTTTGATTCCTTCATCGTGAACATATGTGGTGCATCGTACAGTTTCTGTCACATTGAAGGCAAACCATCTGTTCTCTGATGATCCAGTGTCTCGATCCAAAAGAGTCCACTGTTTTCAGTTCCTCTAGTGTTGTATGTTTCCCCTTATATGTCGTTTGTAATATGTGTGGACAACTGGACCAGAGGGTTTGGATAAATCTAATAAATTAAGCAATTGAGCATGAGCTCATCTCTAACACCACCATCCACAAAGGCCTGCAGATGCTTGATAGATATATAAAATGGAATTTAGCCACTCAAGTTTTATTGAGCGTCCTTGTTTTCTGGAGGAGATGCTGTTGAATGTTTGAACCATTTTTTTCATCAGACAGTTTTCAGCCATAAAATACCATGAAACAGCAGGCCAACATGTCTGTCACAGAGCTCTCTTCTGGATGTATGCCTGTCAGGCCACAGTCAGGGTGAACAGACTGTGATCTCAGTGTGTATCATCGCTGAAAAGCATCATGGCGGCTGTCAAGAAAAGTCAGAAAATGTGTAATGTTGCGCTTTCCAAGAAATGTTTTAATATTTTTGTCTTTTGTTGAAGTAATAGACAAGGCACTGTCTTTTTGTAGGGATGAGCTTACAGTGATGTGAAAGTTCAATCTCAAGCATCATTACAGTAGGAAACATGTAACTTAACTGGATAAGAATGTGTACCCCTAACCCTAACCCTAGTGTCAGTTTGTCTATTTTTTTTCATTGTCCTGTGATGAAACAACATAACAGTCATAATAACTTGCAGAACTTGCCAAGGGCGGGGCCAGATCAAGATTGTTTGAGTGAGTTGCTTTGGCTGAAACCAGCTGAGTATACATATATTATATTTAGAGAGGCTACTATACATATGTTCAATAATTCTGTATGGCCCATGATGGGAAAAATACATTTTAGAAACTGATATCCCGAAAGACAGATAACCAAAATTATTTGCATGGTGACTGGTATACCAGCAGTCTCAAATGAAAAACAAATTTAAGTCAAATGGACCAACAGAGAAAATAAGTAGGTCAGTGTTGTGAGGGAACTTTTGACCATCCTCACACATTACAATCTTAAGAGCCCCATTAGGAGACCAGAGCCTGTCTCATTCCACCACACTGCTCTGTTAACGTTGATATATTGTTCCACCTTCTGGTCGCCTTGATGCATCAAGTCTACATTAAACTCTTAGACAGACGTCATCAGCTGCTGCCTGAGGTCTCCTTTCACCAGCTTCTAGAAAACCATCTCAAGTGTGATCTGTAAACAGACTGAAAACCAATTGTTCAGTGATGGTTGTCCCTCTGAAAGATTCTTCCATGACAACACAGGATCACAGGAGCTGAGCCACAGTGACCATCAGGTTCATGATCACCTCTCTCACCTCTCAAGGTCTGTCTCCCTCAATTGATAGCTTTCCCCAGGACTGTGTCTACCACAGTCATGTCTCTGAGATCTGCAGGCAGTTTGCTTTTCGCTCAGATATTACATTGTCAGCTGTGAGCCCTTCATATAGACAGGTTTGTTTTTGGAATCATGTCCAATTGGTGGAAATCACCAGAGATGGACTCCAATCAATAAAGAGAAATAAACCTGAGTGACATTTAAGGTGTTTCAAGTGAAATGAGCAGTTGGTGCCATGGAGTATTAAACTGCAGTGGACAAATAAAAGTCAGTCTGATCGAGTTTCTGGTACCACAAACGTGATTAACCAATCCTGTCAACTTGTGGAAAAGGCTCCTCAACTGCAGGTGAGCTGTAAGGGTGGGGAAACGGGACAGGGGTTGTGCCATATATGAATGTTTATATTTCTCCCAGGAAATGTGGAAGAAAGGTGTAGAGTTACATTTAAGCCCTTTCAAGGCCACGAGGGGCTTTTATCTTAACAAACCTTTTAAAAATGTAATTTTGAGGAAAAAACAAGAGGTTTACGAGGTGTAATAAGTTAATGGCATGAAACTATAATAAAAAACCCAACTGCTTTCACTTTGTTATTACGGTGTATTGAGTGTTGGTAGATGAGGGGAAATGAATATAATTGATTATGTAAAACCAGCTTTCTCTCACTTTTTGGAATAAAAGGACAGGTAAAGTCCATATATAAAGCCGTGGAGGGCAGGAGTGGATGAACCTGGTTAAAGAGTAACCGACCTAATGGGATGCTCTGAAGCAAATGCGCCCGCAACGAGGCAGGGATCATATCATTCATTTCAGTGGTTGACCAGTGGTTAACACGACATCTGGCATTCTATTGGTTGGGGAATTTTGCGAGGATTACACAAAAAATCTAAGAGCAGAGGAGATATCTGAGAACAGACGATACACAAGCGCACAGAAAGCAGCGCGAGTGTGGAGAAGGGCTGAAGCCGGAGCACAGGAAATCTGAATGCAAGCACACAGTTTGAGCAGAAGCACAGCAAATTTACGTGCAAACAGGGGCTATTTTAGTGCAAGGGCAGGGTTTTGATGAAAAGTAATACACGATCTGAACATAAATTTAACAAGTCATGCGCTCGAACTGAAAGACCACGCTCTTGAATAAAGATGGGCACATTGTTCACTTCTAAAAACATGTTTTCAGACATGAACTGCTGAGGATGTCTGAACAATTGGGTCTGGACTTGCATGTCTGAAAGCTTAGAAAATAAAGAATATTAACAAAACAGCATATTCATTGTTAGTACTGTGAGTCAGAGTAAGGAGTACTGATGGGACAGGGGCAAGTCAGGGGGCAATCCGATTCCAGCTGGGGCCAGAGCCCCTCTGGCCTTGACTGTGGATCCGCCCCTGATCCAAACAAAATCCATCACTAAGTTTATGTGCGTCACTGGTTCATTGATTAAGCTGCATTACACAGTTTGATGATGAGTTGGGATGTGGGATCTGAACTGTCTCAGACTTGTCTCTGACCCCTCTCCCCTCATGTGTGCACCCTCCTCTCCTCTCCTTGTCTCCTCTCCTCCACTCGTCTCCAAGTTGCGCTGCGCTCTCGGAACCAAACCTCCTCATCTTCCTCTCCTCTCCTCCACTCTTCTCCACGTTGCGCTGCGCTCACGGAACCAAACCTCCTCTCCTCTCCTCCACGTTATGCTACACTTCCCGTAACCAAACCTCCTCCTCCTCTCCTCCCCTCTCCTTGTCTCCTCTCCTCCACTCTTATCCACGTTGCGCTGCGCTCTCGGAACCAAACCTCCTCCCCCTTTTCCCTCCCTCTGGTCTCCTCCTCACCGCGCAGAGCTAGATGCGCGCAGGCACAACAGATGGTACATTACTACAGAGCGGAGGAGCGCACGAATTTCACACACAACTACTTTTATCTTCTCTAAACTTGACGTTTAGTGTCACAGGAGTAAGGTGGGTGTTCTCCGAGGACAGACTCAATCTTGACCGGATCGTACATTTGGAGGCTGAATTTAGTGTCAAGGTAAGTTGTGATGTTTTGTTTTTTTCTTGTGAATAGCCGTTCACATCTGCGAGATGCGCAGGAAAAGCTCAAACTGCGATGACTTGTTGTGGTTCCCTCCCATTTATGATTGCATTTAAACGTATATATAACACTGCTTCTAATTCAGTTTAAGTTTGTTACGTAATATTTTAAAGAATGAGAAATAGTCAGTGGCTCCAGCTTCAATTAACCCACCATAACATTCAAAGATATTTCAATGGATTCTGCACAGTTTGCGCAAAGTCTGAATTATTTAAAAGCCAACACAGTTTTAGTCCCTTTAGGTTTGAACAGATTGCAGAAAAAATGTTTTCAAAACTAATTCAAGCAAATCCACAAAAACCATGTCTTAAAATTGACACACACAAAGCCATTGGGGTGTTTAATTAAACCAAACTTTAATGCAAACTCTACAGGTGGAGTAGCATTAGTTGGCTCTAAATAGAATAGAGGANAGCCACCCCCTCTGCTGCGGTCACTGTGCCAAAACCTGGACACCCTCTAGACCCCTGGAGCCTCTGTGCACGTGTACAGTCGTGAAAGATCAGCCCCCCCCGCGCACACACACACACACACTCCTGAATCCTCACTGTACAGACAGTATAAGTCTTTGACATCTGATTTTCCAGGAGGTGATTGCAGCACAAAGTCTTCACTTACTCCACAGGCTCACATTAGTTCTGATGCTGCACCTCAGTGGGGATGCTTATGTGCCTACCAGCACATAATGATCATTCCTAGTGACTTATCTTAAACCCCCCACACTCCCCTAAAGAGCAACCTCTTAATGCGAAAGAGCAGAAAAGACAAAGTCAGAGGACGAATCTGACCTTGTGTCTGTGGCGGAGAGTTAAAGATGCAAAGAGGGAATCTTCAGGCACTTGATCTCTACTGAACAAAGACAATGATACAAGACCTCTATGGGTATGAATGCAAAACATCTAATCCTAGCTTTGATTAAAACCTTTGTTATTATTTATAATTGGGATTTATTTAGTTTAATGGCGATCAAATACCACATGCATAATATATTTTTTTCTTTTACAGAACACTTGTACTGATGAACTTTGTACAAACTGAAGTCAAACAGTGTTTTGGAAAAGTGCCCTGCAAACACACAAGTTTATAAAAGACTATCCTCAGCAGGCATGGATCAATCAGGCTGTGACACACTGCCACTAATCTCTGAACTCCTGCAGACTCAGATGCCTATCTTTTGACACAAGAAAAAAAAACACCAAGGGAGCATTTCCACTATAGGTTGTACCATTCATCCGTGTGTCATCTCCTTAAGGCCATTTAAGATGAGCAATGTGTGCTCGTTCACCAGTGAGGCATAGGTAATGATTTGCTCAGTCCCAGAAGAGGTCCAGACATGCAGCGGACCCCAGGTGGCCCCATGGCAGCGGCAGCAGCAGCAGCCACAGGAAGGCTCGACAGATCACATATAGTCTCACAATTTGTACACAATGAGATCTCTGGGGAGAGCTGCCTTAACTGAATTCTGCGTGAGCTACTGGCACGACAGAGAAATGTGGAAGTGTGAGGATTGCTTGGAAAGTGTGACTGGAGATGTAGAAATTTGTCAAATGATGCTGTGAATAAGTGGAATAAATAGCAAGTAGTACTTCAGGTATGCAGTTTTAGCATTTGTATTACCATGTACCTTTATTGTGTTTCTGTTTACAGCACAGTACACATTGCCTTGTGTCATCTTTGTCTGTAAGATATTATATATTTTTTCTCCACCGTGCGTGTGGCTTTTCTTTGTGCTCATTAAAATTTTTATGGGACCTTTGTGTCCTCAGCCACTAATGCTCCTGTGCTAGAGCCACACGACACACCAACTTAACCATGTGTCTCTGTCATGGAGTGATCTGTGCTGAATACATCAAATCAAACATTGAGCAGCAGCACCAGGACATAAATTGGCATGTACTGCAGGGAAGAGATCTTTATCATGCTTCTTTTCATTTATCAAAACACTTGTGATGTGTGACAGAGACGTTTCTTTGTCGTGTGTACCCAGCTTTTATGTTTCTACCCAGAGGGGCAGGGTCACTTCCTCTACGGAGAGCGAGGTACACATTTCGATACTAGCACAGGAACTGTCGCTGAGAGGAGGCAGTAGCTGCTGACATTATTGGAGTGCCGTGCAATGCTCCCACTATGATGTTTCAATATATTGTTTTGAGAAAATAAGAGTGGTAGGCGTTTAAGTATGATTGAGGGACCAGTATTATATACAAGAGAAGGGAGTTTAATGACTTAAGTTAGAGAGAACATCCCACAAGTGTGGACGGGTTATATCTGAAGTAATAAGATAGGACTGGCTCTTTTTTTATGAGAAGTGTGGTGTGTGGACTGTGAGTGCATAGTCTCTCGCTTTGAAGAGAGGAATCAAACGCGTGTGGATACTCAGCTGCTGCAGAGGCTGACTGTTATATTGACTTTACATAACCCACATGGGAGGTATACATCATAATTACAGGTTTTAATAGATTATAAACTCTTGTTTTTCTGGTCACAAGAAACTGATATAGAAGACTACGCTGCAGCACAGAGGAAATGAAATAATGTGGAAGCAGCTTGCTCATTAGAAAACATCTCCAAACAGCCTGCAGATGTTTTCTATTTCACAAATGTGTCATGCAATATAAATATGATCTTTTAAATATCACTTCCTGCAGAGAAAACCATGTCCTATAAAACAAAATAAATCCTGTAGACAGTCACTTTTACAAACTTACATCACACTAAACACTGCCAACGTCATCACTGATTCAGTGGAGGATATTTTAGTGAATGAGCTGCGTTTGATTGCCTCTTCAGCTTGAGCGCTGCTGCTGCTGCTGCTGTCCACCCATCAAACCCAAGCCGGCGCTGTCCTCACATGACTCAAACCGTCCAGGCAAATACAAGTGACACCAGAGAGACCATGTGTTATTTTTTATTTTGTAGCTGTGCCCATTCCTGCTCCATTTACAGTGGATCAATATCCTGCTGTGAGAGAGAGTAAAATGGGGGTGGGGGGGATATACCACATTGAATAAATCCTGCTGTGACACCTGACGCAGCCGTGAAGCAGTCAGGCCGCCGCACAGCGACTGACATTAAACAGCTAATCTGAGCATGAAAGAAATGCTCACGTTGGTGACGGAGATGATTGAGGCATTGAACGTGAACTCACTCGACATACAGGGTGCATACATTACAGCTTGATCGTAACCGTCCTGGTTATAAGAGCTCATCTGTTTAGTTATTAATCATTACTTGACAGTAAATATCACTGGCTGTGCACAAACCATCCCACGTCTCTACACAGCTCACCGTAGTTTATTATTGATATTATTAATAGTACGTGTTCATTCTGAGGCTGTCGCAGGATGTGCATGCCTCCCAAATATCAACTGCATGTCGTGTGGATCTGCGCTTCAAGATGATTGGTTGATTCCACTGCGCTCTGGATGCCGCTTTGAAACTGAGAAGAAAACAATCGTACCTGTAGCCTGTAAAAGAATAAATCCTTGAACACGCAACACTCAGAATATGCCTTCATGCATTCATGGAGAAAATTCAACTGTGCAAACGCATTTACACACAATTCAGGTATACGTCCTGGAAAGTCTTTTTTTAAAAGATTTTTGAGATAAATCATTTTGACCCAGTCACTCCTTCTCTGTGAGAGTACATAGTACATCTTGTACTATTGAAGTTTTAATGGACAGTTTTGAAAAAAGGATCAGAGTTAAATTCAGCGGAACCAGAAAAAACATCTTTTTTATTCAAGTCAGAAAAGAGTTTAGCGTCAGAGTCTAGGCTGCCAAAATAAAGAAGAGGAAGAAATTGGTGCTTTCACCCAGGTGTCATGTCTCCATCACTGCCAATAAAAACCTGTGTCAACTGCAGAGTCAGCTGACCCAAGAGTGAATACAGATTATATCCATTCCCATTGCAAACAAAAGCCAGATATAAGTGGGTTTTTAAACCAGTGGCATAGGGGCCTTATCTTGTTTGTTTTGCTGTTCAGTGTTGACGAGGAAGGTGGTATCACATGAAGAATGACATTCGTGTACATCCTCTAAAGGATGCTATGGATTAATCAGCCTTTCAGCGGCTGGCTTCTTCCTGTCACAGACATCTTGGAACAAATTACTAACATAAACTCATGTCGTTTTGGCTTTTATCAGGCAGAGCGTAGAACAGCAGTTATGTTGCAATGACACTGGCACTGTTGGCTCTATGAGAAAGAAACAATCAGTATCAATTTATAAAAAGCGGTGAGTTATTTTTATATGAGACAGAGGAAGCGTCCAGTGGAAGAAATCCAACAAGAGTGTGTTCTGCCCTCAAACCTCACTGAAAGTGTTACTTATGGTACCATGCAGCTTCAAAGAGCCGTCCTGCCCAGCATCCACAAATAGAAAAATTTGAAGGGGAATTTTAAATGGAAATGGATTAATATTTCACCTCAGCATTGATTCATGCTGCCACTGTAGACATTTTCATCTGCGAGCAAGTCGCTTATGCAAAGGCATGCGGTGACGTTACAGCAGTCTCAATGTGGCACATCCTCTCCATTCCACTGTGCATTAGAAGTAATGGGCCTCCTGTGTGGAGCATTACTGTCATCACCACTTAGTTTGCCACCCTGGCCTCCTGCTCTGTCATTTTCTTATTCACAATAGTGGTACAGATAGCAGGGGTTGAAGCGATAAAGGCCATGATGGAGGGAAGGTGTTATTATTGAGTTGTGGTGTTTGCTGACTGCGTCCTGAAGAAATGGATGACATTTTCCATCATATTTGAGCGTGCAAGGTAATTTCTCAGGTGACATTTTACAAGTCATTTCCGCTGCAGGGTTCTGCTCCATGCAACAAAACACTGATGAACTGTTCTGAAATTTCTAATGATATCTTCTGTTACTAACCGAAACCAGATCTATGCGGAAAAAACCAGCAATTGCAGCACTAAAAAAA